ATGTCATGCAAATGTGACAGTGCTCTACTGGGAAGTACAGTTTTTAAAGTTTACCTTTCATAACATGTTACACTTGTTTTAAGGGTGTAACTTGTTACCAAATAAGCAGCCCCCACACCCCCCCCAAGCCCCCATTGTGACAGCTGGTGCACCCACTGTCACAATTTAAAAAGTGCACGGCTGTGCGGGGCTCTGCCCACCTGGCTGCGCCATTAATTCACATAGTTCTGTAAATGAAAGAAATATACCTACCGTCAACCATTGCAGCTGATGGCTTGTAGTTCTCAATGAATTGTGAGAGCACTGGCCAGAGTTCTAGTAATTCATTGATTCTTCCTGCCATTCAGTAAGTGCCTGACCGTACGAGGTACAGGCAGACAGCTACACTAACAGTCTGCAGGAGCCTGACACTGCACTTGCAATCTGCTATGCTTTACAGGCTCCTAATAAAATAAATAAATAAAAAAGATGTGCATTTTTAGTCTTATAGTGCAATTTTTTTTAAAACTGGTAGTAAAACCAGGTCATAGAGTCTAGGTAAGGGGAGATTGGGTAAGCTAATAGTGGAAGTAGAATGGCGCATTGGGTGTCCCCACTGAGCCTGCAAAAGTTCCATTTCAGTCTTGTGGAAACTTCCCAGTTAAATGAGACTAAAAATATAGTGGATTAGGCTCAAGTCTATGTAAACTCTAAAAATGACCTTTTCCTTATTTGCTATCTTTTAGTCTATTAAATGTACAATACAGTGGGTGTTCCAGTTGGGAGAGGACCACCACCCCCTTCAAGCTCTTTATGGATATGTGCAGTATGTCTGATTAGTAGGCACATCGAGTTTTAGTTGTGGTGGGTGAGTTCTCGGGAGGTTCAGGGTCTATTTAATGGGTGGGAGTATTATGCCTTCCCCTCTTTCCTTTTGGCAACACATTCTGTGTGGGATCTAGTTGTTTGATGGCACCATTACAGGCTGACTGTATGTAGCATCTGGCTTTATGTAGGCCTTGTGAAAGTAGTCTGAGAATTTTTTTTTTCACAAGAAATACATTTAGATATGTAGATTACTAATAGTAGCAACTTAGATTTATTCCTGGTATTTCTGGTTCTTGGAGTTTGATTGTTAAGAGCCATACATTTTCCACTAAGTATGGTGTGCAATCTACTTTTTGATAAATTCTTTTAGATCTGGTGGGACTTACATCTATGTTATATTTTCAGACCCATTTTTATACCTCCCTGCAGCCTGGATGAATGTCACTGCATCTTGGACTGCTTCATGTTGGTTTTGTAAGTTGAATATATGTATTTTTTTCTGTTCTCTCTCTTTCCCTCAGCTTCTGACTTTCTGCCTCTCCCTTTTGGGGTCAGGTTATGTACTTAGGTTACTTCACTGGAAATAAATACCTACAGCCTGTATATATGTATGTTAACATAAATATGCCAAGTGATAAATAAATACAAAATCCCCCTACCTTAGATTACACGTATATTTACATTTTGGACTTTAATTGGAATTTAGTATATTTGTAATCTAAGGTAGGGGGATTTTGTATTTATTTATCACTTGGCATATTTATGTTAATATTTGTGCACCTCTAAGGGTAGAGGTGAAGTGTGCTTGAAAGAAATTGGGTAGTAGTAGTGATTTAATTTATTATATATGTATGTTATATATTTTTTTTCTAATTGCAGATATGTAATGGATACCTGTCATAGATGAGCATAGTGTTCTGAGGAAGTGGTATAGACTGCGAAACATATCAGACTTGACTCTATCTTATGAACAGTATATCCTATACTTGATGTTTCAAGAATGAAGACTGTGTCTTTAAAATATGTGCAATAAAATATTATATGTTGATTTTAACTTTTGAGAGTATCTGGATATATGAGTGTATTGGTGGGCCACCCTCAAACACCCTTTTTCTTATTTTTAGTTGTAAGGAAAGGATGAACCTTCTCCATGGCTTCTCAGCATCCCCATGTATCAGTGATTGTTCTCTTTAGGAAATAATGATGCAAAGCTTCAGAACCATCTGCTTCAAAAAAAAGGTGCACTGGCAATATTCACAAACACCACAGAAGAGCATAGTCAAACAACCGTGAAAGCCTTACAGACAACCCAAGAAACCCAGGTGCCTACATTATCTGGCTATTAGCCCTGATGAAAGGGGAATGCTGAGCCCCAAAAAGCATTGGCTGTTACAAAATAAAAAATCTTTTAAAAGGTCTATACAAGCCGGTGTGGTGCTCGTATTCTTTCAAAACTTCAATAAACTCCTCTGGGGGTCCAGCAAGACCCCACAGTTGCTGGTAAGCAGCCTCTAGGACTGTAAACCACTCATTGTGTTATAATGCATCTCCATAAGGTTCAGTGTTCCTACATCACAAAGAACCCAAGAAAATTGGACAGAGACTCTATATACTAACTGACTAACTGTTGCATCACCAAAGAGCACCATGTGAATTTCACACACACATATATATATATATATATATATATATATATATATATATATATACAGTTGCAAGAAAAAGTATGTGAACCCCTTGGGATTACGTGGAGTTTTGCATGAATTGGGCATAAAATGTGCTCTGAACGTCATCTAAGTCACAACAATAGAAGAACACAGTCTGCTGAACATAATACTACACAAACATTAGATGTTGCCATGGTTTAACTGCACATAACATGTAAACATTCACAGTGCAGGGAGGAAAAAGTATGTGAACCTTTGGACTTAATAACTGGTTGACCCTCCTTTGCAGCAATAACCTCAACCAAACGTTTCCTGTAGTTGCAGATCAGACCTGCACAACGATCTGGAGTAATTTTGGACCACTCTTTTTCACAAAACTGTTTCAGTGTAGCAATATTCTTGGGATGTCTGGTGTGAATCGCTCTCTTAAGGTCATGCCACAGCATTTCAATCGGGTTGAGGTCAGGACTCTGACTGGGCCACTCCAGAAGGCGTATTCTGTGCTGTTGCAGCCATTGTTTTGTTGAATTACTTGTATGCTTTGGGTCATTGTCCTGTTGCATCACCCATCCTCTGCGGAGCTTCAGTTGGCGGACAGATGGTCGTACGTTTTCCTGCAGAATGTCTTGATAAACTCTGGAATTCATTTTCCCCTCAATGACAACAATCCGTCCAGGCCATGAGGCAGCAAAGCAGCCCCAAACCATGATGCTCCCTCCGCCATGTTTTACAGTGGGGATGAGGTTTTGATGTTGTGTGCTGTGCCTTTTTTTCTCCACACATAGTGTTGTGTGTTCTTCCCAAACAACTCAATCTTGGTTTCATCTGTCCACAGTATATTTTGCCAGTAGTGCTGTGGAACATCCAGGTGCTCTTTTGCAAACTTCAAACATGCTGCAATATTCTTTTTGGACAGCAATGGCTTCCTCCATGGTGTCCTCTCATGTACTCCATTCTTGTTTAATGTTTTCCTTATTGTAGATGTGTCAACAAAAATGTTAGCATGTGCCAGAGATTTCTGTAGGTCTTTAGCTGACACTCTGGGATTCTTCTTTACCTCATGCAGCATTCTGCGCTGTGCTCTTGCAGTCATTTGTACAGGACGACCGCGCCTAGGGAGAGTAGCAACAGTGCTAAACTTTCTCTCCATTTGTAGACAGTCTGTCTTACCGTGGACACATGAACATCAAGGCTTTTGGAGATACTTTTGTAACCCTTTCCAGCTTCATGCAAGTCAACTATTCTTGATCGTAGGTCTTCTGAGAGCTCTTTTCTGCGAGGCATGGTTCACATCAGACAGTGCTTCTTGAAACCAATAAACCCAAAACAGGTGTGTGTTTTTTAAGGGCAGGACAGCTGTCAGCAACACATCCAATATCATCACACTGATTGGAGTCAAGGTTGGCTCACTCCTGGCTCCAATTAGCTCTGGGAGAAGTCATTAAGCTAGGGCTTCACATACTTTTTCCTCCCTGCACTGTGAATGTTTACATGTTATGTGCAATTAAACCATGGCAACATCTTATGTTTGTGTAGTATTATGTTCAGCAGACTGTGTTCTTCTATTGTTGTGACTTAGATGACGTTCAGAGCACATTTTATGCCCAATTCATGCACAACTCCACGTAATCCCAAGGGGTTCACATACTTTTTCTTGCAACTGTATATATATTATATACTGTATGTTGAAATGCCTTTTTTCTATATATCAAAAAAATATATGAAAAATATATTTTCAAATATATGTGTTTGAAAATACATTTAAATCTACATTTTTTAAATGCATTTATAAATATATGTAAAAATGACTTTTTTTATATGTCAAAAGAAATCTGAAGAAAATATATATTTTTTAAATATATGCCTTTAGAAAATATATTTACCGTATTTGTCGCTCCATAAGACGCCCCCCTGACCATAAGACGCGCCTAGGTTTTAGAGGCAAAAACAAGAAAAAAAATATTCTGAACCAATGGACTGCCGACATAGTACAGAAAATGACCAGAGACTGCAGACACAGTACAGGAGATGACCAGAGACTGCAGACATAGTACAGGAGATGACCAGAGACTGCAGACATAGTACAGGAGAGGACCAGAGACTGTGGACATAGTACAGATGACCAGAGACTGCGGACATAGTACAGGGGATGACCAAGAGACTGCAGACAGTACAGGGGATGACCAGAGACTGCAGACAGTACAGGGGATGACCAAGAGACTGCAGACAGTACAGGGGATGACCAGAGACTGCAGACAGCACAGGGGGGTGACCAGAGACTGCGGACACGGTACAGGAGATGACCAGAGACTGCGGACACAGTACAGTAGGTGACCAGAGACTGCGGACACAGTACAGCAGATGACCAGAGACTGCGGACATAGTACAGGAGATGACCAGAGACTGCGGAGACAGTACAGGAGATGACCAGAGACTGCGGACACAGTACAGGAGATGACCAGAGACTGTGGACATAGTACAGGAGATGACCAGAGACTGCGGACACAGTACGGGAAATGACCAGAGACTGCGGACATAGTGCAGGAGATGACCAGAGACTGCGGACATAGTACAGGGGATGACCAGAGACTGCGGACACAGTACAGGAGATGACCAGAGACTGCGGACACAGTACAGATGACCAGAGACTGCGGACACAGTACAGGGGATGACCAGAGACTGCGGACACAGTACAGATGACCAGAGACTGCGGACACAGTACAAGGGATGACCATGAGACTGCAGACAGTACGGGAGATGACCAGAGACTGCAGACAGTACAGGGGATGACCAAGAGACTGCGGACCTTTGGAGAGGGAGGGGGAGCGGGTACCTGAATTTGACAGGTACCTGCTCCCACTTCCGCGGAGTTGTCCTCCCTTTAGTGTGGGCACCCAGCTGACAGCCGTGTGCCCACTGTGCATGTACGAGAAGCGCTGCGCTTTGGAATGGCCCGGCGATTTCTGGGACTGGCCTGGTATTCTGACACGGTGGAAATACCGGACCGGCCACTCCATATTCGCTCCATAAGACGCACTGACATTTTCCCCCATTTTTTGGGGGGGGAAAAAGTGTGTCATATGGAGCGAAAAATATGGTAAATTTAAGTTTTTTTAGAATACATGTTAAAATATATTAGCGTAGGCCAAGTAAATATATGTCCCGTATATAATTTTCTGAAAATCTGAAAATTCTAAAGGAGCTACTAATTGAAAGTACTGCATATTTAGCAAGAATTTGTTGGAACTAAGTGGATCAACTAGCAAGTAGCGAGACTTCAATTTATTGTAGACAGATCAATGTAAGACTAATTCTGATTACTAGGTTGTCTGTTCCTTACACATTGCCATGTTACATTGCCTAATTTATTAAGGTTTGTTGACCTCAGGGCATAATTTACTATCTTTACTATTAATTATCTTTTAAATAATGAGAGTAATATTACAAAAAAACAGTTTTTAATCTCTTAATGAGCATACATTTGCACACATACAAAAATTGTCCTCAGCTGAACTTAATATTCTACCACATAATCCGTGTACAATAAGAAGAGGAGGATAAAACATCGGTTAGTGACAAATTTCCTCTGATGTCTGCTACTTTAAGCAGCATTGCTGAATACAGATAATTACATATTTTACCCTGTCTTCACAGGCAGATACTGCAAGTTCTGTCTAATATCTAGAAAGACCAACTATAGATGTAGCTCCCAGTATTGTCTACTAAATTACATTCAACGAACTTCAATATGTCATGGAATACCTAACACTTTTTTTTACTTCACTTATTATGCTTCAAAAGCTTCCTTCTATGTAAATTACTTTTTTTTAACCTTCATCTCTGATGATCTTGCAAAATGTACCGTACAGTTAATAAGCTACATAATAGCAAATTGAATAATATACTGATTTGAGACTGGTTTCCTATGATCAAAACGAAAGCTGCTTGCTATTTTTGATTGCTATATTTCATGCTGGGGGGCATGCTGGATTGATAACCTCATAAGGGGGCGGGGTCACCTGGCGACATCACCAGTGGCACCACCCCTTAGTTATTTAAGAACTGTCAGGCAGGAGAGCTGTCTTACAGCGGAAGCCTTCGTCAAGAGGGGAGGATTTTTTTTTTCTTTTTTCAACGGTGGCATCATGATTGGCAATAGATCTACAAGGGAACAATTTTTTTTCTTTATGTTTTTTTTTTTTGTAAAAAACTTGTCAAAAACTGACTCCTGTGGTTTTTTCATGCTACCCTTTTTTTCGGTAAATGAGTAGGGGTACTGCTCATTCACATGAGGGGGGGGCAGGCCTGAAGACCCCACAACCAGCAGCCACAGCCAGCAACATGAAGACAGGGTGCTTTGGTGGGGCAGAGCCCCCCTGCTCCAAGGCACACCTCCCCAATATTGAGGGCATATGGCCTAGTATGGTTCAGGAGGGGACCCTCACTTGCCCCCCCTTTCCTGACCTACCGGCTGCATGCTCGGATAAGGGCCTGGTATAGATTTGGGTGGGCCAACGCTATTTTTAAAAAAAATTTTGGCGTGGAGGATTTTCCCCTCAAAATCCATACCAGACCCGAAAGGCCTGGTACTCAACGTTGTTTTTTTTCTTAATTTTTAATTGCCAGCAATTTATTTTTTTTTTACATTCAGCTGTCAGTGGGGAACCTGCTGACAGCTGATCCATTACCGCATTTGTCACTACTAAAATACCACATGAGTTAATAAAATAACTTGTGGTATTTTAGTAGTGTTTTTTAGTAAATGCCAATTTTTTTTTAAAAACGCTGTGCGGTATCTTACCACATACAGTTGCAAGAAAAAGTATGTGAACCCCTTGGGATTACGTGGAGTTTTGAATGAATTGGGCATAAAATGTGCTCTGAACGTCATCAAAGTCGCAACAATAGAAGAACACAGTCTGCTGAACATAATACTACACAAACATTAGATGTTGCCATGGTTTAATTGCACATAACATGTAAACATTCACAGTGCAGGGAGGAAAAAGTATGTGAACCTTTGGACTTAATAACTGGTTGACCCTCCTTTGGCAGTAATAACCTCAACCAAACGTTTCCTGTAGTTGCAGATCAGACCTGCACAACGATCTGGAGTCATTTTGGACCACTCCTCTTCACAAAACTGTTTCAGTGTAGCAATATTCTTGGGATGTCTGGTGTGAATCGCTCTCTTAAGGTCATGCCACAGCATTTCAATCGGGTTGAGGTCAGGACTCTGACTGGGCCACTCCAGAAGAGACGTATTCTGTGCTGTTGCAGCCATTGTTTTGTTGAATTACTTGTATGCTTTGGGTCATTGTCCTGTTGCATCACCCATCCTCTGCGAAGCTTCAGTTGGCGGACAGATGGTCGTACGTTTTCCTGCAAAATGTCTTGATAAACTCTGGAATTCATTTTCCCATCAATGACAACAATCCGTCCAGGCCCTGAGGCAGCAAAGCAGCCCCCAAACCATGATGCTCCCTCCGCCATGTTTTACAGTGGGGATGAGGTTTTGATGTTGGCGTGCTGTGCCTTTTTTTTCTCCACACATAGTGTTGTGTGTTCTTCCCAAACAACTCAATCTTGGTTTCATCTGTCCACAGTATATTTTGCCAGTAGTGCTGTGGAACATCCAGGTGCTCTTTTGAAAACTTCAAACGCAATATTCTTTTTGGACAGCAATGGCTTCCTCCGTGGTGTCCTCCCATGTACTCCATTCTTGTTTAATGTTTTCCTTATTGTAGATGTGTCAACAAAAATGTTAGCATGTGCCAGAGATTTCTGTAGGTCTTTAGCTGACACTCTGGGATTCTTCTTTACCTCATGCAGCATTCTGCGCTGTGCTCTTGCAGTCATTTTTACAGGATGACCACGCCTAGGGAGAGTAGCAACAGTGCTAAACTTTCTCCATTTGTAGACAGTCTGTTTTACCGTGGACACATGAACATCAAGGCTTTTGGAGATACTTTTGTAACTCTTTCCAGCTTCATGCAAGTCAACAATTCTTGATCGTAGGTCTTCTGAGAGCTCTTTTCTGCGAGACATGGTTCACATCAGACAGTGCTTCTTGAAACCAGTAAACACAAAACAGGTGTGTGTTTTTTTTAAGGGCAGGACAGCTGTCAGCAACACATCCAATATCATCACACTGATTGGAGTCAAGGTTGGCTCACTCCTGGCTCCAATTAGCTCTGGGAGAAGTCATTAAGCTAGGGCCTCACATACTTTTTCCTCCCTGCACTGTGAATGTTTAAATCTGATGTGCAATTTAACCATGGCAACATCTAATGTTTGTGTAGTTTTATGTTCAGCAGACTGTGTTCTTCTATTGTTGTGACTTAGATGACGTTCAGAGCACATTTTATGCCCAATTCATGCAAAACTCCACGTAATCCCAAGGGGTTCACATACTTTTTCTTGCAACTGTACTTGGATGCGGTAAGATACAGCTTAGTGAATTGTCACTTTAGTCTTCATCAGGGACTTGATGCTGGGAGCTCTTTCCTTCCTTAAATGTTTTTTCTTCTCATATATTTTCATATTTCCAATCACAGTTGGATATCCCTATATGAATTAACCCTTTTCATTTGTTGATCTGTCATACCTATTTAAAGGAGAAGGATAAAGAATTTTTGCAGGAAAAGTGCATTTATTATTTTTTCCATAGGAGCCTGCAAGGGATTGCACCTGTGCTCAGTAGATTAGTGATGCAATGTCAGGCTCCTGTAGACAAGCCCCACAGCTTTCAGCCCATACCTCTGCACAGGCTGTCAGTTTGAAAACTGCAGGGCTTGTTAATGAACTACAAGTGCATGCATCAGCAGGAGATTCCCTGTCCGCTGTCACAGGGAGGGGATCAGGGGGTGAGGAGTAAAATGACTGGAGCATGTTACACGTTACTCCCTGAATATGGGTGTAATGTGTAACATGCTCCAGAAGGTGAACTTATCCTTTAACATGCTATTTCTTTTAAAAACCTCTGCTCCAGGAGTAGGCAACCTTAGAGAGGTGGAGATCTACATGAACCTGGGAGGATCAGAGATCACCAGGCGCACTGTTGCCCAACATCACTTCCTCACTGCCTGATTAAGACTGGGTTCACACTAATATGGTGCGGGAAACGCTGCCAATCCTGTGCATTTCCAGAACCGCATTGAAATTGCATGGTGTTCATGTGATCTGGTGCAGGTGTCAATGTTAAAATAATGACACCCCCAAAACAGATCTTAAAATGCAGTGTGATTGCCACAAATTGCATCGCATGGGTGAGAACACCCATGCGATGTGATTCAGGCGTGGGTAAAAAAAAAGGTCCTGCACCTTTTTGGTGCAAATGCGATGCGATTTGAGCCATACAAAATGTGGTGCGATTCCTGTGTGAAGTAAATGTGGTGTCCCGCACCACGTTAGTGTGAACCAGTCTTAATCCTGTAATTGCCGTACTACCACATGGCCATTGCGTGCATTGCATGGCAATTATCCATTTTGCCTACTCACCACCTGTCAAACAGGCTTGGATAGCTTTTCAGAAAGGAACAGCAGTGCCTGTTGCACTTGTAAATGAGCCCTTAGTTGCATTCGGCGGTGGCACCCTTATGGTTCATTCACACATGAGGTTGGGGGTTAGTAAAATCCTGAAATTGAACTGCAGATTTACTTTCCCTATCCCCTTTAGCTGCAGAGACAGCAGCTGAGGGTATATACATGCCACAGCAAAAATGATACCCCCTGTTGCTTTCATGACCCATTCGAATGGCCACTCTGCAAGCGCTCTGCAACTGCATTCAATGCATGCAGCTGCAGTATGCTAGTGCAGTGTGCAGAGAGTTAAAGCAGGTGGTGAGGAGGCGATGCAACACTTCTCAGCGCCTGCTATAACCTGTTGGTTGCTGTACTGCACAAGGTTGCAGACATTTACAAAGCGGCCCTACTCACTTGAATGGGTCATGCGCCATCCACCAAACATCGCAGGGTGTACAATTCCTGCACCCATGGCCACTGCAACTAAAGGAGGTGTGGTTGCGGGGGGTGGTAAAAACAC